CGTTGTGCCCATAGAAGCATATCCTGATGTCTGTCCAGGAAATCTTCATTTTCTCTTACGCAACGCAGGGTTGATAGTTGTTTCTCCAGACCTTGAATCTTCTCTTCCAATGTGGAGACCAGCTTGCACTTTGTACAAACAAAATCGCTTCTGTCCTGTGGAAGAAAGACAAACATGGCACAACCTGTGCAGGTCACAACAGCTCATCACTCATCATCCATAGCACCTTCCTTCTAAGAGCTTCTTCAGCTGTTGCAGCAACTACTCAGAGGAACCTGCAAGATGAAAGCCTCAGTGGGGCTCTCCCCAGGCGAACTCCCAGTCAAACTCCCTCTGTTAGCCGCTCAGCTATTCGCCGCTCAGCTGGTTCACAGCTGACTGCCTTTTAGGTGATCATGCACCCCAGCTTCTTTGGGTTCCTCCTTATCCCCCATCTGCTGTCCACAAACTCATCCACCAGCGCCCCTGCACTGCGCAGATCTTTGGGCTTCCGGTCCACTAACCACACCTTAAGGTCTGGAGAGCAGATGTCATACAGCTGCTCCAACCCCACCAGGTTATACACATCCTCTGTGGTAGTGGCCCCTGTGCCCTTCCCCCACTTACTGAGATATTCCCTCAGCAGGTTGGTCACCTCCTTGTAGGTGATGCCTGAGATCTTGCGTACACCCCGGAATTGTTTCCTGTACGCCTCGGGGGTCAGTTCAAACTTCAGCAGCAAAGCCTGTTTGAACAGGTCATAGTCCCCCATCTCAATACCATCCATTTAGCTGAATGCCTCTATGGCCTTGGGATCCAGCAGGGGGGGTTAGACAGTGGAGCCTGTCTGCAGGGTCAATCTGGTTCAGATCACAAGCCTTCTCAAAGGCTGTGAGGTAGGCATCAATATCCCCCGCCTCCTTAAACTGAGGTAGCAGATTCCCCACAAAACTGGCATCTTGGGGCCGTTTCCCGCTTACCCCCGGGCAGGCCCTCTTGGTCCATGTCACGGAATTGGGGGAGACAAGGCCCTGCACCCCCGGCTTCCTGCGATTCACCGTGACTCTCAGCCAGCCAGTAAAACAGAAGGTTTATTTAGACGACAGGAACACAGTCCAAGACAGTCTTGCTGGTACAGACAACAGGACCCCCTCACTCAGGTCCATCTTGGGAGGCCAGGGGAGGCCAGGAGGTCTGACTGGCCTCTCCTCCATTTTCCCAACCAGCTCCAAACGGAAACTCTCCAGCCCCTCCTCTCCCTGTGTCTCTCTGTTCTCCAACACCTTCAGTTGGCACCTTTGCAGGGGAGGGGTCCAGGCTATCAGTTGCTGGGAGACAGGGTGTTGGCCATTCTCTGCGCAGACGCTTGCACACCCCTGCCCTCTAGGGCTCTGAAACAATTGCACACCCACCACCTAGATACTTAAGAAATGCATAGGGGAAACTGAGGCACCCACACAGTATTTAGAGAAAACATTAAGAACATTCCCACTTCGTCACAACCCGCCTCTCCTCCAACTCGTGCTGCTCCTCCAGCTCCAGCTCCTTCACTTTCAGCTCCAACTCCAGCTTCCGTAGCTCCTCCAGGGAGTCGGGTCTGATAGACTCCCAGCTGCTACATGGACTTCCCCCCACGGCTACTCCCCGGCTCTCTGGGCATCCCGGGAGCCCCCCGGGGTCTGGAGCCTGTTCCTCAGACTGGTCATTCTCTACAAGCTGAGCCATCAGCTGCTCCTTAGTGAGTTTCCCCACACTCAGCCCTCTCTCCCTGCACAGACATGCCAGGTCCCTCTTACGGAGCTGGTTATAGATCATTTCCTCGCTGGTTCCTTCAATTCCATCCTTTTATCGCTGGCAGCCACTCACTGCAAAGCGACTGTGCTCACAGCCAAACGTCTACAGGGTGCATCCACAAACCATCCTCTGCTACTACATTGTCACAGACTCACAGGTCGTACCCACTCTTGGCCCCGTACGGTCCCTCGGGGAAACCCCCTTCAGTGTGACAGCCCTTCTCGGGGGTCCACTCTCTCTCGGGGGTTAAGCCCCTCCGCCTCCTGGAACCACACCTCTCTGAGCCTTAGTACGCCTGTCTCTTGCTGTGGGCCCCCTCAGGGAGTCCACTCGCTCTGGACCCCCGGAGCCTCCACTCCCAAAGAGAACAAAGCCACCCTGTTCTCTAGACCGGCGCGACTCTCAGCCAGGGTTTATTGAGCGTCTGAACACAGCACAGGAAACTCTCAGGGCCCTCAGGCCTGGCCTCCCTCAGCACAGCACATCTAAGGGCTGGTCTACACTAACCCCCCAATTCGAACTAAGATACGCAACTTCAGCTACGTGAATAATGTAGCTGAAGTCGACCTACCTTAGTTCGAACTTAACCGCGGTCCACACGCGGCAGGCAGGCTCCCCCGTCGACTCCGCGTACTCCTCTCACCGAGCAGGAGTACCGGAGTCGACGGCGAGCTCTTCTGGGTTCGATTTATCGTGTCCAGACAAGACGCGATAAATCGAACCCAGAAGTTCGATTGCTTGCCGCCGAACCAGCGGGTAAGTATAGACGTACCCTAAGACTCCCCTGCATCCTGGTGGGCTCTGCCTGCTCTCTTCTCCCAGCCCAGAGACCCTGCACTTTCCAGCTGGGCATCTGATAGCACCTTCCCTTAGACCTGCCTCTGTCCAGGTAAACAGGGTCGCTTGGGCCTCCTCTCCTCTGTCCTTTGTACCCCTCTGGCTGGAACTGGCTGGTCAACTGACCAGGGTCCTCTCTTCACAGCCCACTGTCCTCCCTCTGGCCAGAACTGGCTGTGACTCCTGAGCTGGGCCTCCCAGTCACCAGGTCACCAGTCGCTGGCGTATCCATTCTCCAGGCCATTGGCCGGGGTCCCTAGTTCCCTCACTGGTCCCGTGTAACAACAAACCCTCTCCCATAACCTTGTTAAACCAGTAACACCCAGGGAAACTGAGTCCCAACCCCTCTGCAAGCAAACCATTGAAAAAACCATGAAAATCCCTCACTTTGTCACAGTGGTATGTGCACCTGTTCCCAGCTGCTCCACCCCAGAGGTGGCTGTGACCCACCCCCGAGCGAGCTGTGCCCTTGTAATGTTAGGTGCGTCTCTTCCCCGCTGCCCCGCCCCAGACATGGCTGCGTCCCAGTGCCAAGCTAGCTGTCCCTGTGTGGTGTTATGTGCGGTTGTTCCCAGCTCTCCCACCCCAGCGGTGGCTGCGTCCCAGCGCCAGGCAAGTTGTCCCAGTGTGGTGTAATATGCGGCTGTTCCCGGCTGCCCCACTCCAGAGGTGGCTGTGTCCCAGCAATGAGCGATATGTCCCCGTGCAGTGTTATCTGCGGCTATAACCCGGCTGCCCCGCCCCTGAGGTGGCTTCATCCCAGCGCCGGGTGAGCTGTCCCCATGCGGTATGATATGTGGCTGTTCCCACCTGCCCCGCCCCAGAGATGGCTGTATCTCAGTATGGAGTGAGCCGTCCCCATGTGGTGGTGTGTGTGTCTGTTTCTGTCCGCCCTACCCCAGAGATGGCTGTGTCCCAGTGCCAGGCGAACCGTCCCCGTGAGGAGTTATGTGCGGCTGTTCCTGGCTGCCCTGCTCTGGAGGTGACTGTGTCCCGGCACCGCGCAAGCTGTCCCCGTGTGGTGTTATGTGCGGCTGTTCACGGCTGTGCCACCCTAGAGGTGGCTGCGTACTGGAGCTAAGCGAGCTCTCCCGGTGTGGTTTTATGTGCGGCTCTTCCCAGCTGCCCCGCCCCAGACATGGCTGAGTCCCAGTGCTGCGCGAGCTCTTCCCCTGCAGTGTTATGTGCGGCTGTTCCTGGCTGCCCTGCCCCGGAGGTGACTGTGTCCCGGCACCGCACAAGCTGTCCCTTTGTGGTGTTATGTGCGGCTGTTCCTGGCTCTCCTGCCCCAGAGGTGACTGTGTCCCAGCACCAGGCGAACTGTCCCTGTGAGGTGTTACGTGTGGCAGTTACCAGCTGCTCTGCCCCAGAGATGGCTGCATCCAAGCTCCGGGAGAGCTGTCCGCCTGCGGAGTTATGTGCAACTGTTTCCCCCTTCCCCACCCTAGAGGTGGCTGTGCTCCAGCACCGAGTGAGCCATCTCCATGTGGAGTTATGTGTGGCTCTTCCTCTCCACCCTACTGCAGAAGTGGCTGCGACCCAGTGCCAGGCAAACCCTCCCCGTGTTGGTTTATGTGTCGCTGTTCCCAGCTGCCCCACTACAGAGGTGGCTCCATCCCAGCGCCGAGCAATATGTCCCCATGCAGTGTTATATGCAGCTGTTCCCACCTGCCCCACCCCAGAGATGGCTATGTCTCAGTACCAAGTGAGCTGTCCCTATGTGCCATTATGTGCTCCCATTCCCGTCTGCCCTGATCCAGAGGTGTCTGGGTCCCAGCGCCAGGCGAGCTGTCCATATGTGGCATTATGTGCTCCCGTTCCTGTCTGCCCCGATCCAGAGGTGGCTGTGTCCCATTGCCGGGCGAGCAGTACCAATTTGGTGTTATGTGCGGTTGTCCCCAGCTGCTCCACCCCAGAGGTGGCTGCGTCTGAGCGCTGGGTGAGCTGTTGTGCTGTTATGTGCGGCTGTTCCCGGTTCTCCCGCCCCAGCGGTGGCTGCGTCCCAGCGCCGGGCGAGCTGTCCCCATGTGGTGTTATGTGTGGCTGTACCCAGCTGGCCCGCCCCAGGGGTGGCTGTGTCCCAGCAATGAGCGATATGTCCCCGTGCAGTGTTATCTGTGGCTATAACCCAGCTTTCCCACCCCTGAGGCGGCTTCGTCCCAGCGCCGGGTGAGCTGTCCCCATGCATCATTATATGCGGCTGTTCCCACCTGCCCCGCCCCAGAGATGGCTGTATCTCAGTATGGAGTGAGCCGTCCCCATGTGGTGTTATGTGTGGCTGTTCCTGTCCGCCCTACCCCAGAGGCGGCTGTGTCCCAGTGCCGGGCGAGCTGTCCCCATGCAGTGTTATGTGCAGCTGTTCCTGGTTCGTGACGGTCTCTGTCCTGCAGTGTGTAAGAAGCACGGGAAGCTCCTCGGTTTTCTTCGCACCTTCATGAAGTCACGGCCCAGCAAGCAGCGACTGAAGCAGCGCGGGATCCTGCGTGAGCGCGTCTTCGGCTGCGACCTGGGGGAGCACCTCCTGAACTCGGGGCATGACGGTGAGACCCCTGGTCTATAGGGCATTGTCTCCTATCCCCCGGGCTTGCGCTTTGAGGCACTGCCTCCAATCCCCCCGGCCACGCCCTGTCTCCCAACCTGATGCTATGGGGCGCTGCCTCCCATCCCCCTGGCCAGATCTCATCTCCCTGCCTGGCACAATGGAGCGCTGCATCCCATCCCCCCGGCCGGACCCCATCTCCCAGCCTGGCGCTATGGGACACTGCCTCCTGTCCTCCTGGCTGGACCCCATCCCCCAGCCTGGCACTATGGGGCACTTCCTCCCATCCCCCCTGGTCGTGCCCCATCCCCCAGCCTGGCGCTATAGGGCACTGCCTCCCATCCACCCCAGCCACACCCTGTCTCCCAGCCTAGCACTATTGGGCTCTGCCTCCCATCCCCCCTGGCTGCACCCTGTCCTCCATCCATGCCCCATCTCCTGGCCTGGCGCTATGGGTCACTGCCTCCTTTCCCCCTGGCCATGCCCCGTCCCCTGGCCTCGCCTCTGCTCCCATCCTGGCACTATGGGGCACTGCCTCCTATCCCCTCCAGCCGCGCCCCCTGTCCCAGCCTGGCATTATGGGGCACTGCCTCCCATTCCCCCGGCTGTGCCCTGTCCCCTGGCCACGCCTCTTCTCCCATCCTGGCGCTATGGGGCACTGCCTCCCATTTCCCTGCTCGTGCCCCATCTCCCAGCCTGGCGCTATGGGGCACTGCCTCCTTTCCCCCTGGCCATGCCCCGTCCCCTGGCCTTGCTTCTTCTCCCAGCTCTCACTTTGGTGCTATGGGGCACTGCCTCTGATCCCCCCGTCCGCGCTCCGTCCTCTGGCCGTGCCCCCTCTCCCAACCCAGCGCTATAGGGCACTGCCTCCCATCCTCCCTCAGCTGCATCCCATCCCCCAGCCTGGCGCTATGGGTCACTGCCTGCCATCCCCCCCACCACACCCCATGTCCCATTCTAGCGCTATGGGGAACTGCCTCCCCTCCCCCTGGCCATTCCCCAACCCTGCCCTTGCCCTGTCTCCCAGCCTGGCGCTATGGGGCACTGCCTCCCCTGCTCCCGGCCACGCCCCGTCCCCCAGCCTGGCGCTGCCTCCCATCCCCCTGGCTGCACCCCGTACCCTGGCTGCGTCCATCTCCCAGCCTGCCGCTATGGGACACTGCCTCCCATCCCCCCAGCCGTGCTCCCCCCGGCCTGGCGTTGGAGGTCTTGATGCTGCCATCTGTTCCCGTGCCCCCCGCTTATCCTATGCCTTGCGCAGTTCCCCAGGTCCTGCGCTGCTGCTCAGAGTTCATTGAGAAGCACGGCATGGTGGACGGGATCTATCGCCTCTCGGGCGTCGCCTCCAACATCCAGAAGCTGCGGTGAGGCCTGGGGATGGGGAGCTGGGGGTGCATAGCGGGGTGGGCACAGGGGAGTGGCAGGCAGCGGGGGGATTTGGGCACAGGAGAGGCGCAGGGTGTGGCGATAAGCAGGGAAGGGTGGGGGGGTGCAGGGCACTGTGTGGGGTGGTACCAGACTGGCCCCCAGGGTTAGAGGGCAAGGGAAGAAGGGCGCAGGGGTGGGGGCAGGGTGTGGAGGCAGGGCACGGAAGGCAGGGCGGCAGGGTTGGGGGGCAGAGTGTAGGGCACGGGGGGCACGGCACAGGAGAGCAGGGTTAGAGGGCAGGGTTGGTTGCCTGGGTTAGGGGGCAGGGGGGCAGGGCTGACCCGGCCATACCCGCTCTCCCCTTTCCCCAGGCACGAGTTCGACAGCGAGCGGGTGCCGGAGCTGGGCCGGGCGACCTACCTGCAGGACATCCACTGCGTGAGCTCCCTGTGCAAGCTCTACTTCCGCGAGCTGCCCAACCCGCTGCTCACCTACCAGCTCTACCACAAGTTCGCGGTGAGCCCGGGGCTGCCCCCACCTGCCCCCCAACTCCCGCGTTCCCCCCCACGCCCGCATCCCCCCACGTTCCCCCCCGCCCCCGCATCCCCCCACGTTCCCCCCCGCGTTAACGCCCGACCCCCCAACCCGCTGCTCACCTACCAGCTCTACCACAAGTTCGCGGTGAGCCCGGGGCTGCCCCCACCTGCCCCCCAACTCCCGCGTTCCCTCCCGCACCCGCATCCCCCCACGTTCCCCCCCGTGTTAACGCCCGACCCTCCAACCCGCTGCTCACCTACCAGCTCTACCACAAGTTCGCGGTGAGCCCGGGGCTGCCCCCACCTGCCCCACAACTCCCGCGTTCCCTCCCGCCCCCGCATCCCCCCACGTTCCCTCCCACCCCTGCATCCCCCCGCGTTAATGCCCGACCCCCCAACCTGCTGCTTACCTACCAGCTCTACCACAAGTTCGCGGTGAGCCCGGGGCTGCCCCCACCTGCCCCCCAACTCCCACGTTCCCTCCCGCCCCCGCATCCCCCCGCATTAACGCCCAACCCCCCCAACCTGCTGCTTACCTACCAGCTCTACCACAAGTTTGCGGTGAGCCCCCGACTACCCCCCAACCTCCTGCCTCCGCATCCCCCCGCCCCCACATTAACACCCGAGCCCCCTGATGACAGCCCATTTGCCCTGCAGGAAGCTGTGGCGGTGCCCGGCGAGGAGGAGCGCCTGGTGCGGGTGCATGACGTCATCCAGCAGCTGCCACCGCCCCACTACAGGTACCTGCCTCACAGGGCCAGAGCGGGGGTTGGTGTCCCGCAGAGCCATGGGTGACAGCTGAGGGGGTTGGGGTGGTGGGTGACGCCCGGCAGGGTCAGGGCCCCACAGGGTCATGGGCAACAGCTGGGGGGCATGGGTGACAGTGGGGGGGTTGGGGTGGTGGGTGACGCCCGGGGGGGGTCAGGGCCCCACGGGGCCATGGGTGACAGCTGGGGGGGAGGTCAGGGCTCCATGGGTGATGACTGGGTGGTGGTTGAGGGCGGGGGGACCCCAAGGGGTGTGGATAACAGTGGAGGGGTCAGGGCCCTGTGGGATTGTGGGTAATTGGAGGGCAGGCTGGGTCCGGGTCCCCCTCACCAGCTGCCGCCCCCCTCAGGACCCTGGAGTTCCTACTGCGGCACCTGGCGCGAGTAGCCACACACAGCCCAGACACCAGCATGCACGTCAAGAACCTGGCCATCGTATGGGCCCCCAACCTGCTCCGGTAAGTGCCGCCCAGCCCCCTCTGGCTCCCCTCCAGCCCCCCTGCCATCCCTCCACACCGGCTACCATCCCCCCAACCTGCTCCGGTAAGTGCCGCCCATCCCCCTCTGGCTCCCCTGCCATCCCCCCACACCGACTACCATCCCCCCAACCTGCTCCGGTAAGTGCCTCTGACCCACCTCTGGCTCCCCTCTGCCCCCCCGCCAGTCCCCCACCTACAATCCCCCCAACCTGCTCCACTTAGTTCCTCCCACCAGCCCCCCCCCCCATGCTGGCTCCAATCCCTCCAGCCTGCTCCGGTGAGTGCACCCCTCCCAGGCCCCCCGCACCGGCTCCAATCCCCCAGCCTGCTCCGCTGAGCGCCCCTCTGCCCCCCAGGTCGCTGGAGCTGGAGGCTGTGGGGCTGAGCGGGGCGGAGGCCTTCCACGAGGTGCGGGTCCAGTCCGTGGTGGTCGAGTTCCTGCTCAACCACGTCCAGGTGCTGTTCAGCGACAAATTCACCTCCATCGGCAAGGACAGCGCAGGTGGGCGTGCGGGGGGGCCATGGGGGATACAGGGGGCCGTGTGGGGCAGTGCGGGGGGCAGCATGGAGAGGCAGTGTGGGGTGGACAACGTGGAGAGGACAGCCTGGGGGGGGGGCAGCATGGGGAAGGGGACTGCACAGTACAGGCTGGGGGGGCAGCGCTGGGAGACAGCGTGGGGTGGCGCTGGGGGTAGCACAGCACAGCCTGGGGGGAGGTTCAGCCCAAGGGGGCAGCACGGGCATTGGGGAGGTGGAGGGCATGCAGGGGGGGAGCAAGGTGCTCAGTGGTGGGGGGCATACAGAGACTGGCTGGCTGCTGAGCTGGGGGGGTGGGGGCAGGCTCTGCCCTAGAGGAGGTTGGAATCTTTGTCTGCTGCCTTGTTTGTGATGCTGCGCTGCTGGGCACCCCCCCACTTGGACCTGGCCCCCAGCAGCGGGGTTGGGGTGGGGCCGGGGGCTGCTGCTCCGAGGGTGGGGACCTGCCCCGAGTGGCATTGGGCAGGGTGCGTGAGGGGGGATGGCCAGCAGCAGGATTTGGGGGCTGGTCTCCTTGCCTCACCCCCCCCCCCCCAGATCCAGCTTCGTGCCCTCTTGCTGTCTTGTGTCCTTGGGGGTCTGGCAGGGAGGGGCTCGGGGGGATGGGGGCAGCAAGGGATGGAGGGAGGGAGACACATGAGGGATTCTGAGGGGTAGGGGTAGGGGGAGCTGTGGAAGGTTGGCAACAGTAGGGTTTTGAGGGGTGGAGGGGCATTGGGAAGGCTGGGGACAGTGAGGTTTGGGGGTGATGGGGCAGTTTGGGGGGTGGGGGGCACTGGGGGAGGCTGGGTGCAGTGGGGTTTATTGGGATGGGGGCAGTTTGGGGGAAGTTGGGGGGCAGTGGGTTTGGGGGGACAGTTTGGGGGCAGTGGGGTTTGAGGTCCCCGCAGCGAGTCCACCTGGGGACCCTCACCCCCCCAAAGGGCCCTGCACCCCCACTCTGCAGTCACAGGGACTCAGCCAGTGTGTGACACAGGAGGTTTATTCGTCGTGGGAAACAGCGTAGGACAGATCTTGTTAGCACAGAAATCAGGAACTTTCAACAGAGTCCATCTGGAGGGGTGGGGGAGGTCCAGAGCCCTTGGCTCGGCCCCCCTCTTCCCCCCAGTCCCAAACCAGGAGACTGACCCTTTCAGCTGCCCATTGCCCCTCCTCCTTCCTTTGTCTCTTTCCTGGGCCAGCCGGTCCCCTGGTCTCTGGTCTGCACCAGCACCTCGGGCTGGTTCTTGCAGAGGAGGGGGCCTGGCCATGAGTGTGGGCCGTTCTCTGCAGCCCACCAGCAGTCACACTTGCCCTCTAGGGGTCTCTGCAAGGATCACCTCCCCTTATCCCACCACCTAGGTACTTGAGTAACACAGGGGAAACTGAGACACACCACAGTTTTCAGAGAAAACATTAAGAACATTCCCACTTCGTCACACCGGGGAAGGCTGGAGGCAGTGGGGTTTGGAGGGGTGGGGGGCAATGGGGCACTGGGAGAAGGTTTGGGGCAGTGTGGCATGGGGAGCTAGTGGGGCAGCCAGTGCCGGGCCCCCCCCCACCCCGTGCTTTGCTCCCTGTGTAGCAAGCTGGTCTGTTCTCAGCAGCTACCCCCCAGTCTCTGGCCTGGGGCTGGACCCCCCCTCCCCTGCTGCATGTCAGGATCCCAGGCCCAGGGAGAGGGGGCCCTGCTCTGGGCATGGGGGTGCCCCTGGGCTCTGGCGTGCTGCCCCCCTCGGCCATCCTCTAACCCTGTTCTCTCTCCAGCCCCCCAGCCGGCGCCCCGGAAGCTGGCCTGGCCCCCCAAGACCGGCCGGCTGCTCACCCTGCCCGAAGCCCTGAGCAAGGCCCAGAGGGAGCCGGAGACGCAGCAAGACGGGGTGGGGGGTGCCCCGGAGGCGCAGGGGGACTGAGGGGGCAGGGGGGGTCATCCACCCCCCCCCCCCGATCAGATTCATGGACCCATGCACACCCTCTATCACGCCCCCTCCCTGCCGCTCACGGGCCCCTTTAGCCCGGTATCCCACCCCATCCCTGCCGTCCACGAGCCCCCGTATCCCGCCCCCTCCCTGCCACCCGTGGGCCCCAGTATCCCGCCCCCTCCCTGCCGCCCATGGGCCCCGCTGCCCAGGTATCCCGCCCCCTCCCTGCTGCCCGTGGGCCCCTCTACCCCGGTATCCCGACCCCTCCCTGCCACCCGCGGGCCCCTCTACATGGGCTGTGGGGTACCATGGCTCCGTGACCCCCCCCGCTCTGGTGCAGTCAGCTGCACCCCCAGATGAGCATTGATCCCAGACACTGCGGTGGGGAGGTGCCCATGGCAGGGGGTTCTGGCGGCCCAGGTTGCTGGCTGTGGAGCAGGAGCAGGGTGGCACGGTTCTCCCTGTGGGCTCTCAGGGTTAGTGCCCACCAGGGTAGGGAGGCTCAGGCCCTGGGTTTAACCAGCTCCTGTTGAGAACAAGAGAACATTAAATGTCCAGCTGGCAACTCCCCGCATTGGTGATTCATGGTGCCTGGCGCCCAGCGGCTCGCCCCGGGGAGACAACTGGCTGGGAGCGGGGATGGGGGGCTGACATTGACTGGGCCTGGTGGTGTGGGGACACTGAGCCCAGCAGGGGTGGGGGTGGGGGGTTGCTGAAGTGGGGGGCTGCCAAGGCAGACTGGGGAGGCAGGTGCTAGGGGCATTGAGACAGGCTGGGGAGGGGGGTGCTGAGATGAGTGGGTGCCAAGGCATGCTGGGGTACAGCGAGGTAGGCTAGGGAAATGGGATGCTGAAGTGGGGGGGCACCGAGACAGGCTGGGGAGGCAGGTGCTTGGGGGCATTGAGACAGGCTGGGGATGGGGATGCTAAGCTGGGGGGGTGCCCGGACAGGCTGGGGAGGGGGGTGCTGGAGGTGCTGGGGAGCGGGGTGCTGAGGTGGAGGGGTGCCCAGACAGGCTGGGGAGGAGGGTGCTGAGGCAGGTGAGGGCCTGAGGTGGGGGGTGCTGGGGGGCACCGCGGAAGGCTAGGGGGTGCCAAGGCAGGCTAGGAAAGGGGGTGCTGAGGTGGGGAAGTGCTGAGACAGGCTGGGGAGGGGGGTTCTGGGGATGCCCAGGCAGGCTGGGAGGCGCCGAAACAGGCTAGCCCTGTGGTGGGAGGGAGGGGTGGACAATCCTGCAACCGAATGCAGTGGGGTGTGGAACTTGGGGGGGGGCCCATAGAGTGGCTGGGCCTGGATGCTGGGGGGCTGAGGCCAAGGCCAACGTGAGCTGCAGTGGGGGGGGAATCCCCCCTCCCCCCACACACACACACCCTGGGGAAGCTGCCTTCTGTGCCTGACCAGCTGGGACCTGCGGAGTCCTGAGCCCAGCGCCCGGCCATGCTGAGGGGGCTGGGCCCTGCATTGGCACCTGGCTGCCCGCCCCTCACCCAGGTAACAACTCCCAGTGCCCAGCTGCGCTGCTGCTTCTCTGCGGGATCGAGCCTCTCCCCTGGGCTCACAGTGCCATCGCTGGTTTCTACAGTGAGACCCCACAGCCTGCCAGCGTGTTAAATCCTGTCCTGCTGCTGGCACTAGGGGGCACCATAGTGCTTGGGGCTGAGTAGGGGGCACTATATTGCAGGGAGAGGAGCAGGGGGCTCTGTGCTGTGGGGAGGGAGTGGGGGCTCAGCAGGGGGTGCTGTGCTGCGGGGAGTGGGGGCTCAGCAGGGAGTGCTGTGCTGTAGGGAGCGGGGCGGGGCTCAGCAGGGTGCGCTGTGCTGCGGGGAGCGGGGTGGGGGGCTCAGCAGGGGGCGCTGTGCTGCAGGAAACAGGGTGGGGGGCACCGTGCTGTGGGGAGTGGGGTGGGGGAGCTGCAGAGAGGGGCTTAGGGGCTCAGTAGGGGGCGCTGTGCTGCAGGGAGGGACTGAGATTCCTGTGGGGCAGGCCCAGCTGACCCCCGCTCTGTCTGTCTCCCTGTCTCCCAGGGCGCTCCTACCTCCCGCGTCCCAAGTCTCTGCTGGGCAGCTGCTCCTCGACCCGCCTGCTCTCTCTGGAGGAGGCTCAGGCCCGGACGCAGGCCCAGGCCCAGCACACGGCCCCTGGCCAGGCCAAGAGACCTGAGGCCGAGACCGGATGGGGGCCCCCGGGGAGGCTGCCCCTCACGCTGGACTCCCCCCGTGACAGGTAATGGGGCCTTCTCCCACAGGGGTTGCCGGCTCCGGGGTGGGGGCTGGTGAACTCAGGGGGGATGGGGCATGGGGGCCTTCCCCCCCCCCCAGGGGGTGCCAGCCCCGACCTGGCCCCAGAAGGTGGTGGGCTCAGGGGTGTGTGGAATGGGGCTGGCAGGGCCATGGGTTGGGCTGACGCTGTCTCTCCACAGGCGCCAGGCGCGGGGCGGGAGCTGGAAAACCTTCTTCGCCTTGGGCAGGGCACCTGCCATCAGCCACAAGAGAGTGCAGCGCCCGGGCGGGCAGACGGGTGAGTGAACCCTGCCCCACGCAACCCCCCTGATTCCTGCCCCACGCAGCCCTATGCAACCCCCCAGCTTCCCACAGCCTCCCAGCTTCCCCCTGCCCCACGTACCCCCCATTTCCAGCCCTGCCCCACAAACCTCCCCCCAGTTCCACACCGACCTCCCAGCCCCACATCTGTCTTCCTCCTGTTCTCTCTGTCTCTCCCCCTGCTCCATGGAGTGGGGATGGGGGGGTGTATGTTCGAGTGCTTGCTCATGTCCATTCCATGCTAGGTGTGCGCATGCCCACGGGCCCGGCTGCCGGAGATTTTTCCCTTAGCAGTATCTGTAGGGCCACCTCTGGCACCCCATGTAGCCCTGCACCCACACGCCGGTATATGAGGCGCCGCACCCCTCAGTTCCTTGTCTCCCTTTGTGATTCCAAAGTGCTCTGAGCGGTGTAACTTTATAGTTGTTGGATATAGTTGGATCTAGATCATGAAGTAGTTAGTTAGGTGAGTAATTAGGTTAGATCAGGGGTCGGCAACCTTTCAGAAGTGGTGTGCCGAGTCTTCATTTACTCACTGTAATTTAAGGTTTCGCGTGCCGGTAATACATTTTAACGTTTTTAGAAGGTCTCTTTCTATAAGTCTATAATATATAACTAAACTATTGTATGTAAAGTAAACAAGGTTTTCAAAATGTTTAAGAAGCGTCATTTAAAATTAAATTAAAATGCTGATCTTACGCCACCAGCCTGCTCAGCTCGCTGCCAGCCTGGGGTTCTGTTCACCTAGGCCGGCAGCGGGCTGATCAGGGCCTGCGACCGGGACCCCAGACCTGAGGGGGGGGGGTGTTTCAGGGGTCAGGGCAGCGGGCTGGGGAGCGTGGGGGGTGCAGGGCAGAAGGCTGGGGTGCTCGGCTCGTGGGGGTGCTCCCAGCCCTGAGCGGCTCATGGCAGGGGGCTGGAAGGGATATGCCCTGTTCCACCCCCTTCCCCCAGGCTCCGTCCCCACCTCTCTCTGCGTCCTCTACGGAGCTGTGTGCACGCTGCTGCTCTTCCCCCTCCCCCTCGCTAGGGCCATCAGCTGATTGGTGCAGGGACGGAGAGGAGGATGGGCAGGAAAGCACCACGCTGGGGGAAGAAGTGGGCGAGGGGGGAAGCTTGGCTGCCGCAGAACCAAGCTTCTGCCGCCTGCCCCCGCAGGGGAGAGCGGTGGGCGGGGGGGCTGAGTGGGGCTGGGGGCCGGGACCGCGGCAGGGAGCTGCGTGCCACTCAAAATCGGCTCGCATGCCGTGTTTGGCACGCGTGCCGTAGGTTGCCAACCCCTGGGTTAGATAAAAGAACAGGAGTACTTGTGGCACCTTAGAGACTAACAAATTTATTAGAGCATAAGCTTTCGTGGGCT